AAAACAGACATGTATCACCTGGACACACACCATAGTTGGGTAGTAGTGCAATATGTTCTTGTTTTTGAGGTACTGGTAGAAGTAAGACCCTAATTGTGTTGGGAGTACACTGTCTATCCAGTTTAACCGTAGTTTTGCAGGCTTCACATTCTTAAAAAAAGGAAAAAGAGCAGATGTGGGTGCTCTAGCCCACAATGACCCACATTTTTACCACCTTTCACTGTCTGCAGCTAGATGTGGGAAGGTGTCTGCTCAAAAAAAAAATTAGTAAGAAGAAAGAAATAATTGGAATACATACATCAATGGGAGAGCCAGTAAAGCTGTTCTTGAAGTTGGCCATTCCAGACCCATAATGATGTTTGGACATAAATGCTACGATGTTAAGGTATTACTATACAAGCCCAACCTAAATTGTTAGTATAGCTCCCATCCATGCTACTGTCAAGATCTTCAAAGGTTCTACAAAACTTGCATAGTAGCAGGTCTTACATAGGGAAAGTGGTACATCTACGTTAATACACCTATAGATACAGTCCAAATAAGTAATTCCAATAATTCCCCTGCAGAAGTTAGAAATTATTACTTATTGTATTTATTATGATTTTGCTTATACTACTATTTTAAAATTTATGTACATATTTTGCATACTTATCACAAAATAATTTAAAATATTTGATTAGTTATTCATTAAAAATCTGTTTATTCACTAATATATTAATGTTGGAAATTAGGAACTGTTCGTTGTTACAAATTTTAGAAATTACAATACCTGAGAATTATTTGGTACATTACTGTTTGGCAAGAGAATTCCAAAAATTTTAAATGTAAAATCATTTCTTTTATCATAAATATTAATATTACAGTAATTATCTTAATGTCTAACTAAATAATATACTTCGGTATTTGATAAAGAGGTGTTTTCGATTTGTAGAACTGTAGGATAAATATTACTGATATAATTACTTATTAATGGATTATTGATGCTAATTAAATCATCAGTATATCTATAAGCTAAAGAAAATAATTTTGGATATGAAAAATTATTCATAAATTTATTTTCACGATAGTAAAAATATAAATTAGCAACACTGCTTGAATAATTAGCACCCATTGGTATACCTACTATTTGTTTATAAATATGTTTATCAAAATGAATAGTTATTATATATATGCAAAAACTGAACATATTTTTGAAACTGTTAGCAGTAAAAGTTTGTTTTTCTGTCTTTATAGGTACATCTATAAATTGATATATTAATGAATTTATTGCCATTACCAAATCATTAAGTGGTATATTTGTAAATAAAGTAGTAAAATCATAAGTTTGTATTGTGTCTGCTGATTGTTTTTTATTTACATTTTCTAATTTTTTTAAGATAGATTCATTATATTTAGTTATCCAGAAATCATGTTTACTACTTGGGTTTTGTTGTAATTTAAGGAATAACTGATTCAGTAATTCATTTAAAAAAACTGTAGGTTGTTTTAGTATAGTTTTTGCTGAACTAGAAATAAAACGAAATTTAAAGGGAGATTTATGTAGTTTAGGAACAGCATATAGATACCGTAATTCTGAATGTGGATTGGCTTTAACATCAAATTTTTTATAGATTTCAACAGAATGTTAATAATAGCATCATTAGACAAATTTTGTAATTGAAATGTTTGTGTAGTATTTATTTCATTAGTTACAAGTTGTGCATAAAAACATTTACAGATAAAACCAAAATTACAGTTAGCTTTATCAATAGGCAAAATAATATATTTTTCTTGTATTTTATTGATTTTAGTTTTAAACTGAAAACATGTTATATCTCTATTGGATATTTTTTTAAATCAATAAAAGCTAATTTATCTTTAAATCACATAATATCCCCATTCTAGAAACCAATTTTGAGGATAAGGTGTAGAATAATTAAGTTTGAGAATATAATCATGTATGTTAAAATATAAACAGGGCAATGTTGTGCAATAAACTTTATGCACCAATGATGGTAGCAAAAGCTACCGAAACATGTAGAGTCATTTTTAATTTTTAAAAATTTATTTTGTAATGTAAACATTGTTTTGCCTTTATTTTTAAATAAAATAATCTATGTTTTTTTTATGTAATTTAAAATATATATCTATTTTTCTATATTTTGTAGCTATTCTATATTTGCCACCTTGTCCTGTGGTTTTTCATAGAGTTATCTTTTAGTATATCCAAGCTACCACTAATAACATGTTTATGAAAAGAATCTACCAAGGAATTTAAGTAACAATCACGTAGTAAATTCTGCACATTATCTGTATTTAAATTATTTTAAAAAATTTTATAATCATATATAATAGGTTATATTGGAATTTCATATTTAAAACTAATAACAGGTTTTAAATATTTTAAAGGAATGATAACTTGTGTTACAGAATCATGAAAAATTTTAGAAATTTGTAAATCATTAACAATCTTATGCTTAAAATTAATTACTATATATGATTTCCTTTTGGGCACTTCATTAATTATGTCATTTAAATTATTCAACTTAAGTCTTTGTTTTATAATATCTGAAATTAAGTGTTTAACATGATTATTTTAAAAATTAAATTTGATTAAATCTTTCTTTTTATTGATTTTTTTTGAGCAGCCACCCTCCCACATCTGGCTGCTGACAGTGAAAGATGGGGGGGATATTGTGAGATAGAGCACCCACATCTGCTCTTCTTCCTTTTTATTTTTTTTAAGAACATGAGGCCTGCAAAACTGAGGTTAAACTGGAGAGACTGTGTACCCCCAATGCAACCTAGGTCTTACTTCTGCCAGAACCTCAAAACCCAGGAGACATTGCATAACTACCCACAGGTGATACATGTCTGTTTTGCAGCTTCATTTTTCTTTTCTTTTTTTCATGTTTTACATAACTTTACAATTAGTTAATTTATATATATAAACAAGCTAAGAACTGTTTTCAGTGAAATGTGTTCAACAAATTATACTTCATACATCAAGTAAAAAGGTAAAAAATATTATCAATTATTTATAAAAATGTTTGCACAGGTTTTGTGTGATTTTCCAAATGTGATGGGCCTTCAGTGCCATACCTTAGAGTCTTAACTATATCTTATCTATGTCTTAACTTGACAATTTTGTTTAAATATACAATATTAGATATAATTATGAAAATACTTAAGTAATACACATACAGGAATCAAGATAATAAATAATTGCAACTAAGTGATCAAATTATAATATACAGACAATGAGGCACCATTTCATCCTTCAGGCTGTCCCTACATACCTACTTTTGAGAACAAGTAAAAACTTAAACACATCCCCATATTTTTCAGGAAATTATTGATTCCCCACATAACTCTATGAAAATGGTTAGCGGATATATCAGTTGTGAAAAATTGGCTTCCAAGGTGATACTTCACCTCTTCACACAGAATAGCTTGGTTCCTCTTGCATCTGCTTATGAGATTTGAATGCCACCAGTCTTGAGCCACCTAAAAGTATGGGTTTAACACAAACTGTGATAGTGCATGATGACATCATCATGCAACAATAGCCCTCCACCAATAATCAGTAACTTGCATTCAGAATACTTTCATTCTTTTCCTCAGCTTTGTCTTGAATGGATGTTTTTAAAATTATTAATCAATTACATGAGGTTTGCAATAGTTTATAACACTTAAATTTCATTCAAGTTTAACTGGCATCTTTCATTACTAAAGAAAAAGAGAAGAACATTTTTTTTTACTGGTTACCCATTATTAATTCTCAAGTGATGATAAATTCTGCTTTGTCCTGTGATGGTGCTGATGTTACTACTATGGGACCTGTGGCTATGGTGGCCCAGCATCAGTCCTCATTGTCTTCTTTGGTTTCTCATCCTTGCTATTTCTGTTACTATTCTTAGGCCTGCTCAATCCATGTCTCCCCTTCCCATCCTCCCATTTCACAATGTCAGGGCTTTTGCTCTTCTCATCGGTGACTATACTGTTGGGGCTGGCCCAGTGAGTACCTGTCTGTCTCTTTGTCAGCCTTTCAGGTGACAGGTAGGTTTTCACTCATGGTCTATATCTTCTCTTCCTTTCCTCTCGCTTTCCTGTTTCCTTTCTTTTTCTCTTTGACCCTGTTTATCTTCAGCATCCATACTAGGATCTTTTTGTTAAGATGCCATTGAGAAAGTATTTACCTCTACTCCAGGATATTACTCTCATATCTTTTTATTCCCCAAGAAAACCAGAGACTGGTGTCCAGTTATTGACCTGTTGTGTCTGAACCAGTTCCAGATGAAGGATTTATTTTCGGTGATCCTTTTCACCCTGTCTGTGGATGATCAAAGACAACATATTGGATGTTTTTTTACACATTCTGATAGCTATGTCCACCAGACATTTTTTCTGTTTATCCATCAGGATCGAGTCTTCTATTTTTGAGCTTTTCCCTTTGGCATTGCATCTATCTACCATATTTATGGATTGGGGCTGAGGTTCCATTTTTATATGGATGATTGAATTCTCCATGTCTATTCTCAGTAGGACTCGTACTATCACACCTAAATTCTACAGGAGGCTACTCAGTTGGGCTGGCTTGTCAAGCATTCCAAGTATTTTGTCATGCCTATTCAATATTTGATACATCTGGGCATGTTCCTCAACTCTCATCTCAGTCAGACTCAGCCTTCATCACTTTTCCTGTGAGCAAAGAAATGTCTTTTCATCGAAATTTATGCTTCTTATTTATACCTGCTGCATGAGTTTCTTCAGCTTTGCGGATTTTGGCTTTCCTAGAACCACTCATTCCTTTAAGCTATGCACATGTGCCTCTTCCACTGGACATTGTGGGACAAGTAGAACATTTACTTGGGATCTGTTGTCCTCGATTGTGTGCCCCTCCTCTCCTCTTTTCAGGGACTTGTCTTGGAGACTTGATCATGCCAATACCATGTGGACATACCCTTGCTCTTCTCTGACCAGATCTCCATTTTTTTTATGCCAAAACTAAGTCCAAAACTGTAGTTTGATCTCAAATCCGTCAAGATATGACGGAGCTATGAGCTAAAAGTTTGTACTTGGAAAAAAAACTTGGAGCCATTCTATGAGCCTCTGTAACCTGTAGCTAAAAATTAAAATGTATTGTTACGACAGTGAGGGGTCACGTTACGAGTATTCTAGAAGATTCGCTAGTGCGTTAT